TGTTAAAGTTCCACAGATGATTCTAGTGTGTCTTAAGTTGAAAACAACTGCTTAACTAGATCTTAACTAGGTTAAAAGCTCGCCATTTCTTGTATTTTGCTTTATCTCACCCCACGCAGCCTAGTACAGTTTTTCTGCCAAAACTAGGCAACCGGTTGATAGTAAAAACACAGGGAGTTACAGACAGGTACCTGGGATTGGGGGTAAGATCAGAATTACATCATCCTCTGAGCTGAGGATGGAGTTTGTAAGAGCTTGTTATTCTGGACTCAGATCCGTGTTTGAGGTCCAGCTCTATCACCACCCAACTCTGTCCTAAAGTAAGTTAATCGTAAAATGGGGAAATAAAAGTATCTATTTGAAAGGGTGTCATAAGGATTATACTGAATAATGTAAGGAAAGCACTTAGCTTGACCCTCGGTACATGCTCCAGGAATAGCAAACTAAGAATAAATGCAAAATGATTGAGATGACCCACTTGCAAAAGTAATCCTTCCTAAGAGCTGATTTGTACAATTCGTGGAGGAGTTGAGAAAGTAACCACAGTCACAGTGTTCAAAATGTATCCTCAGGCCTGCTAGTTAACTAAACAGAAATGGATTCTTATCAACCTTCCTGGAATTTGAACACTTCAAGTGACGTTATAGTAATGGAAGTGTCATTGCCTGCACAGACTATAAAAAAGAAAACACTATAGAGATAGAAAAAAAGAAATGAAAAAAGAGGCAGAGAGAGTTTATGGTGCCTCTCTCTAGCACCGTATGGAAGAAAGAACCTATCTTCCGTGGTGGGAGCATTTTTGACCCAGTTTTGGGAGACTTTCCTGGATTATAGGAATAAGAAATTGTACAGCTACTCCAGCTATAACTTGATTCTCTAGAATCAATAGGCCCTTTTGGAAGCAGAAATTCCCTGGGGAACACCAAGCCTTATCTAATCACAGAGCCTCCTGGATCTGCGAGTTACAACCACAGAGCAGCCGGATCTTTCGTCCTCAAGAAATCCCTCTCAAAACTCAAAGTGTAGGAGGGAAAGGTTTTTGAAACTTAACCACATTTACATTTCAGTTTGTTGGGGCAGGAACTTCTCCTTTTGATTAACCTCTGTTAGTCACAATAATAATGCCAGCTCCAATGTACATCAAGGATTTGATTCCTCCAGCATCTAAAAGAAGCCTTCCGGGCTTCCCTGGTGGCGCAGTGGTTGAGAGTCCGCCTGCCGATGCAGGGGACACGGGTTCGTGCCCCGGTCCGGGGAGATCCCACATGCCACAGAGCGGCTGGGCCCGTGAGCCATGGCCGCTGGGCCAGCGTGTCCGGAGCCTGTGCTCCGCAACGGGAGAGGCCACAGCAGTGAGAAGCCCGCGTACCGCAAAAAAAAAAAAAAAAAAAAAAAAGCCTTCCACTATTGGCTTATGATATTTCATTTTTGCAACCTGCCCTTCCACCCACATAGGAGTTTCACAAATATGTATCATTGGTCATGAGTGAAATTGGAAATTTCTCCTACTACCAATATACAAGGAGGGACTAAACTCATTGTAAAAACTGAAGGCCATTTTTATTATATCATCTAGGAAATAAAGCATTATTTAATGAATTCAAACTATTTTCTAAATGATACCTTTGTGTCCTCAATGTTATTGCAGCCCCTTAACAAGTTTTTCTTTTTTTTTTTTTGCGGTACGCGGGCCTCTCACTGTTGTGGCCTCTCCCGTTGCGGAGCACAGGCTCCGGACGCGCAGGCTCAGCGACCATGGCTCACGGACACAGCTGCTCCATGGCATGTGGGATCTTCCTGCACCGGGTCACAAACCCGTGTCCCCTGCATCGGCAGGCAGACTCTCAACCACTGCACCACCAGGGAAGCCCCCACAAGTTTTTCTTAATGAATAGTATTCCTGTGGCTTGAGAAGGCTAGTATAGCAGTCCAGATGCATAATTTATTTCCCAGGACATGGATAACATAGGGTGAAATTTTCTAATTTGTCGTGCATGTACACTACAAATGGGATTATACAATGACAATTTTTTCATACATTGTCCAGTCATTCCAGTCACATTTGTTGACATGACTGTCATTTTTCCCATTGGATTCCCCTGGCACCTTTGTTGAAAACTAATTAACTGCGAAAGTGTGAGTCTGCTTCTGGATTCTATTCTATTCCATCAGTCTACTTACATCAATAGCACTCTGTCTTGATGACTGTAGCTTTTTAGTAATTCTTGACATCTCAAACGTTGTCCTTTTTCAAGCTATTTTAGCTATTCTCTGTCCTTTACAATTTCACATAACCTTTACAGTCAGCTTATAAATTTCTTTTTAAATAATCCTGCCATGATTCTGATTGGGATGGTTTTGACTGTGTACATCAGTTTATGGAGGGTTGACATCATAATAATATGAAGGCTTCTAATCATGAGCAATTTCCGCTCCGTTTTTTTAGATCTTTAATTACTACTGAAAAATAGTATTTTTCAATATAGATGTTTTGCACATTTTTTGTAAAATTTGTTCATTCCTGAGTATTATGTTTTGATGCTCTCATAAATGGTTTTTTTTTAAATTTCACATACGGCCCAGTAGCTTAAAATATATCTTGGTGGATGTCCGATGTGAACTTGTAAAGCATGTATACACTGCAATTGTTGGGTCATCTACATATGTCAATTAGGTCAAGTTCGTAAGAATGTTATTCAGATCTCCTATATCCTTATTGATATTTTTGTCTATTTATTCTATCACATCTCTTCTCAAAAGAGAAATATTAAAATCTCCAAGTATGACTGCAGATCTACTCCTCTCTTGTCAATTTTTGTTTTCGTATACTTTGATACTCTGTTATTAGGTGATCACACACTTGGGATTGTTATGATTTCTTGATTGATTGACCTTTTGTTATTACAATATCATTCTTTATTCCTGGAAATATTCTTTGTCTTTAAATTTACTTCGCCTGATATATAGAAATACTAGCTTTCTGATGCTTAGTGTTTGCATGGTATAGAGTAATAGTTTAAAAATTAAAGAGGGTAAAAAGATCTATCTATGTCTCTGTATTTAAGTTCATCTCTTGTAAACAGCATATAGTTGGGTCTTGCTTTTTATCCAGGCTGACAATCTCCATCTTTTAATTGAAGAGTTCAGTCCCTTTATATTTGGTGTGTTTATGTTATAGGTAGATTTCAGTTTACCATCTTGCTATTGTTTTTTACTTGGTCTTCCTTTGGGTTGAAGTTTTTTGTTTTGGTTTTCTTCTTTCATTTTTTTGTGTGTGTGTGTGTGTGTATTCTAGCTTATCTCCTCTTTTGGCTTTTTAGCTAATATTTTTAAAGTGATTACTAAAGATTACAATTACATCCTTAATTCATCACAATCTACCTTGAATTGATATTATACCACTTCATGTATAATGTAAAGGCCTTATAAGAGTACATCATAATAATTTTTAGTAAAAGTTGTATCTTTTTTGAAACTTCAAATTTTTACGTACATATTTATCAAAGCCCATCAAATGGAATACTTAAGATGTTTGCATATCACTGTATATGACTTTTACCACACACACAAAAAGAACCATGAACAAATATTAAACTCTAGATAATGGTATGCATACTGAAGTGTCCAGGGATGAAGTTGACTGAGGTCTCCAACTACTTTAACATGCATCAAAAAATAAGATGGGGCTTCCCTGGTGGCGCAGTGGTTAGGAGTCCGCCTGCCGATGCAGGGGACATGGGTTCATGCCCCGGTCTGGGAAGATCCTACATGCCGCGGAGCGGCTGGGCCCGTGAGCCATGGCCGCTGAGCCTGCGCGTCCAGAGCCTGTGCTCCACAACGGGAGAGGCCACAGCAGTGAGAGGCCCGCATACCGCAAAAAAAAAAAAAAAAGATGGACTGGGGACTTCCCTGGTGGTCCAGTGGTAAAGAATCCACCTTCCAGTGCAGGGGACAAGAGTTCAATCCCTGGTCGGGGAACTAAGATCCCACATGCTGTGGGACAGCTTAAGCCCCCACGCCTCAATTAGAAAGCCAGCGTGCCACAAACTACAGAGCCCATGTGCCCTGGAGCCGGCACGCCACAACTAGAGAGAGAAAACCCACACGCCACAAATAGAGAGAAGCCCACGCACCGCAACGAAAGATCCCACATGCCTCAACAAAACCCCACGTGCCACAAGGAAGACCTAATGCAGCCAAAAACATAAATGAATAAATAAGATGGACTGACGGACAGCGAGGAGAATGCCTAGATGGACAGATATGTGATAAAGCAAAGAGAGCAAAACATTAATGGTAGAATAGACGATTCTTTCCATTTTTCTCTTTGTTTGAAAATTTTTGTAATAAAATGTTGGATAAAAATGCTGATCTTCGGGCTTCCCTGGTGGCGCAGTGGTTAAGAATCTGCCTGCCAATACAGGGGACACGGGTTCGAGCCCTGGTCTGGGAAGATCCCACATGCCATGGAGTAACTAAGCCCGTGTGCCACAACTACTGAGCCTGCACTCTAGACCTGCAAGCCACAACTACTGAGCCCATGCACCATAACTACTGAAGCCCACGCGCCTAGAGCCCATGCTCCGCAACAAGAGAAGCCACTGCAATGAGAAGCCCACGCACTGCAACCAAGAGTAGCCCCCGCTCGCCGCAACTAGAGAAAGTCCACGCACAGCAACAAAGACCCAACACAGCCAAAAATAAATAAATAAATTTATTTTTTAAAAAGCCAATCTTCTAATTTGGCATGAAAATTAAACTTTAATCTATTTTGTAATGTCAATTAATGACACACCGAAACCTTAAGGGCAGAAAAAATTTCACACATAAACTGTTCTGGTCATGGCCTTCCACCCTAGCCTAGCCCAGTGAATCCTTAACCCTGGTTTTTGGTTTATTTTTCTTAATTTTTAAAAATGTTTTTTTAATTTTTAAAAATGTTTATTTATTTATTCTTTTCTTTTTCTTTTGGCCATGCCATGCAGCTTGCGGGCACTCAGTTCCCCAGCCAGGACTTGAACCTGGGCCCACGGCAGTGAAAGCACCGAGTCCTAACCACTGGACTGCCAGGGAAGTCCCTCCTTGACCTTGTTAATTCCAGACCTGGCCTGAACCCTAAATTCATCACAGTTGCAAGGCTGTACAAGGTCTCACCCTTGCCTCTCCTTCCAGTCTCACCTAGCACCCCTCTTCTCACTCTGCACGCCAAGCACATGAAACTTTCAGTTCCCTGAATGCCCTGGGATTGATCTTGCCTGAGGCCTCAAAGCCTCCACGTAAACTGTTTCCTTGCCTGGAATGCTGCCCTCCCTAACCCTCTCCTTCTTTTGGAAAAATCATGCTCACCATTTAGGTTTCAACAGAAATATCATTTCCCCAGTAAAGCAATCCCTCCTCTCCCAAAGGAGGTCAGGTTCCTGTCCTGGAGGAACTATGCGAAAGCACCTCCCAAGGCCTGAACTGCCCTGAAGCCAGCACAGAGCCATGGAGTTTCCTGCTCAAAGAAAGAAGGTTGGGACCTTTGTAAGTTGCTCTTAAGCAAGGCATTCCCCTTCTCAGAATGAAGAAGTGTGTATAACACCTAAAAATCCCCAATTAAAAGCTGTTTTGGTTTAGAAATCATGCTTGCTTCCTTTTCATGTTATATCATAAGGAGAGAAATATGCCCCCTCAGTGCCCTAAATGAGAGAAGAGAGTTGTGATTGGATATTACCCTGGACCCACAAGTTCTACCCTCAAGAAGCAATGAAATGGGCCAGAACACCAGCACCACACACACACACACGCGCGCGCACACACACACACACACACACGACAGTAGGACAGTAGTCAGTTAGTTTGTGCAGTAGCTCATCAGCAGTCTGTGAGCTAAACCTCCTTGCTGGCTCCCTTCCACGCCACTCTGTCCAGTCGCCAGCTGTAGAGCCATCCGTGCATGTGCAAAGCTCCACCTTCAGTCAGAGGTCTAGAAGCAGTGCCTTTATAACAATCGTGATAAACTGGAGTCACAGGGAACAGAGAGCCAGTGAAAGCCTTGGCTTGGTTACTACCTTTTGGTGCCCTGAGTTGTCTGTCTCGTTAGAAGCAAAAGACCTAGAGCCAGACCTGATTCTGATAAGAGAAGGGAAGCAGCTCCAAATTTGACAAAGCCCAGAACAGCCTTCAACTCCATAGCTCCCATCCCCCCTGCACTTCTCTTTGTAAAACAGACTCCGTCCTTTCTTCAGTGTTCCTCTTCCCATCAGAATCTAAGTTCCATGAAGGCAGAATCACGTCTGTCTTGCTCCCTGTGGTATCTCAGCAGGTAGCTCAGAATAAGACCTCTATAAATATTCATTGAAAAAAGGAATCTCTGTCTCTTCTTCATTATAATATCATTCTGTATCTTAATCCTAAATGCCATCTTATTGTGTGCATTCTGCACTGCATTCATTCATTTTTTTCTTTCATTTAATCACTTATTTAACTGACATTCATACAACACCTGCTAAGCTCTGAGGAAGCAAGTGTTAGTATTACAGATTCCTTATCCTTAAGAAGCTCATAATCCATAAGAAGCCCACAGAGAGTAAAGAGTCCACCACCATCTGACGCAGAAGTGCCACAACAGAGGGTAGGAAGGGAACGACAGACATGAAAAGCAAAATAGCAATGAGGAACTCTCTCTCCTATCAAATTAGCAAACATAAAAGTAAAAGAGTAATAGTCAATCTCTCCTTGGTCCTTCCTAACAGAATCCCAAATTTTCTTTGGGTGTTCATGCCTCATCTATGCAGTCAGATGACTCAAGAGAAGTTGACTTTATCCTGGGATCCAAAGGCTGATTCCAAATAAACCAAAGATCATAATCCTATTTGGTGGGTGGCCAGTGATTGGTTCAAGAGCCCAAGCTTGGACTTCCCTGGTGGCCTGACAATGTACGGGACATGGGTTCGATCCCTGGTCTGGGAAGATCCTACATGCCATAGGGCAACTAAGCCCGTGAGCCACAGCTACTGAGCCCGCGAGCCACAACTACTGAGTCCATGTGCCGCAACTACTGAAGCCCATGCGCCTAGAGCCCATGCTCCGCAACAAGAGAAGCCACCGCAGTGAGAAGCCTGCGCACTGCGACGAAGAGTAGCCCCTGCTCGCCGCAACTAGAGAAAGCTGGCACGCAGAAACAAAGACCCAACGCAGCTAAAAATAAATAAATAAATTAGTTTAAAAAAAGAAAAGACCTCAAGCTTAAGGTTAGAGTTAGATTCCCTCAGGAACAATTCTACGTCCAGGAAAAAGCACATTACCTAAAAATGGCCCAATCAGACTGAAAAGTGGAACTTTATTCCATCATTAGGGTAGCATTTCTCCCCCTCACGAGCAAGGAAGCAGGCTGCCCCAACCTGTGATGTGAGGGGGCCCTGAGGACGATGTTAGCCCATGCGGGGAATGGGGAGCAACTGCAGATATGAGATAACTACAGAAAACTAGGGTAGAAACTCAAATTATAGCATGCCCGGAGCCTGCCCTACTTCTGTGGTTCCCACTATAGCAGTGATTATCATACATTCCTTATTGTTTAAGACAATCTGAGTTGGTTGTTAACTTGGATCCAAAAGTATCCTAACTGAAAAAGTAAAGGTATTGTGAAACTGTGTAACATAGGAAATGTTTATGCCAATACTACTAACCCCCAAAAAGTAGACTCTACCAAATAATACACACATAGTGATTACAGCGATATTTTTAAATCTATGAGAATAGTTATAAAAATACTAACAATGATTGTATTTGGATAGATGTACTATTGAGGAATAATTTTTAGATCTCACAATTGTCTATAATACATATATGTTACTGATATAGTGAAAATATATTTGAAGATTTAGTGGAAACGTAGAGGAATGAACACCTAACTCTATCTAGAGAAGCTGGAACAGGCTTTACAAGGAAGTGATGGGAGCTGATGCTGTCAGGAATGTCATTCACCAGAGGAAAGAGAGAAGCAATTCTAGGTCATACTCACTTCCTTTGTTAGATTTGGGCAGATAAATTAACTCCTACCAGCCTCAGGGTCCTCATTTTAAACTAGGGATAATATGACCTACCTCACAGTTTTGGTTGGAGATGATGATGGTGATGATGATGACTGATGTTATGTCAGAGGCAGAGTCATGATAGTGCATGGCTGGTTCAGGGAGATTAGAATATTTTAGTATGTTTGGACCACAGGACACATGGCAGACCTGGAGCAGTAGCCAGATCGTGAAGGGCCTTGTATGTCCTACGGGAGATAGAGCTTCCAATAAGCTTGAAGCTTTATCCTGTTCGGGAAAGTGAGATTCAGATGTCACTGGAGATTGTTCTTGGATTCCACCTGGTCCCACTGTGGCTGCTTAGAAATGTACTGAGGCTGCTTCACCCCATCCCTAATACCAACCTGAGAAAAGGCAGAGGTAAATACCCCCAGGGCAGGGTACGTTCCTACCGTGAGAAAGTTAATTCATAGTTTGCACCAACAAGCTGTCAGCAACACAGAAGAGCTATTGGCCTCTGAGAACAACTGGCCATTCTGAGAGGGGCTGGGATGGTCTCTTCTCAAAGGACATTGGTCCGGTGGTAGCATCAGCATAGGGTGCCTTTATGGGAACTCAAGGACAAGGAAAGCTTGGCTTTCCCTTGGGGAGGATGCTGCCAAGTCTTGTTTTGTTTTTTGTGTTTTTAAATTTTTTTATTGAAATATAGTTGATTTATAATGTCATGTTAGTTTCAGTTGTACAGCACAGTGATTCAATTATATATACATAAAATATCAATGTATATAATCATATATATTCTATTATATATTTTTTAAATATATTCTTTTTTAGATTCTTTTCCTTTATAGGTTACTACAAAATATTGAGCATAGTTCCCTGTGCTATACAGTAGGTCCTTGTTGGTTATCTATTTTACATACAGTAGTGTATATATGTTAATCCCAAACTCCTAATTTATCTCTCCCCCCCACCCAAGTCTTGTTTTGTGATGCACAACATTTACCAGATTGGAAATTATACCTTTTTGCCTGTGGTGTTTAGAGCATCTTTTCACCAACTCCATCACCCTTTCAACAATCACGTTACTTGCCAAGGAATTTGCTTTTCTCCTGTAGTTTAGTGGTTCTTCCCTCTTGTGGAGCCACAGACATTTTTGAGAATGTAATGAAGGCTACACACCCTCTCCCAAGAAATGGACATATTCACGTCATTTGTCTTCACATCTTCAAAGGGTTCCTGGTCCCTTGTCCATACATCTGCCTAATGTCTGTGGACCATAGGTTAAGGACCTCTGCTGAAGAGGATGGTGAGTCTTGGAAGGGTTCTTTAAGAGAGGGAGTGGCCAATTACTCCAGTAGTGCTACGGAAATGGATGAGGAGGTAGATGGAGTGAAGATGAGACTGCAGTCAGGAACACCACTCATGAGGCCACAGACCTGGACTCCCCTGGCGGTCCAGTGGTTAAGACTCCGAGCTTCCAATGCAGGAGGTGCCGGTACAATCCCTGGTTGGGGAAGTTCCGCATGCTGAACAGTGCGGCCAAAGGTCCACAGGCCTGAACTAGAACAGTGTCAATAGCAAAAGAGAGAAGGTGGCAGCTTGGAGAGGAAGCATATACGGTCTTTGTCAGGAGATATGTGGAGGGTGGGTGAAGAGCACTTGAACGAGAGGATGGGTTTGGGGAATCCTCGCTTACCTTCAGTCAACATGGTTGAAGCTTTGGGACGCCAGTAGAGTCAATTCTAAGCTGCATAACATTTAGGTCTCCACATGCCCTCTCCCCACAAACACAGCAACCAAAATTTCCAATCTGGCAGAGATTTATGATCTATAATAGTTTGTCTTTTTTTTTTTGCGGTACGCGGGCCTCTCACTGTTGTGGCCTCTCCCGTTGCGGAGCACAGGCTCCGGACGCGCAGGCTCAGCAGCCATGGCTCACGGGCCCAGCCGCTCCGCGGCATGTGGGATCTTCCCGGACCGGGGCACGAACCCGTGTCCCCTGCATCGGCAGGCGGACTCTCAACCACTGCACCACCAGGGAAGCCCTATAATAGT